ACAGTGGGAGATAAACTCTTCTGCCCCAAGTTCTAAGAACACGCTTATAACAACCACATGCACAGATCAGATTGTAAATAACAAGGTGAACAATGACTGAATATTATAAACTGTCAGGAACCACTCACAGTCACCACCCAGTTCTTCCAAAGTTTTTTGCTTAGCGAACAGTTTTTCAGTTTCTTTTCTTTAAATTGAATGCCTTTAAGCCAAGCAGGCAATAGTCAATGCACTTAAATTCTTCCTACTCTCCTTTTGACCCTCCCCTCTGTCTTCAACATATAAAAGAAATACGTTATGTAGGTACATGAGTTTGAGACCAGCTGCATCCTTACAAATTACTTTGAAATAACTCTATCAGAAGTTTGTTATCAAGGTCATCATGAACTATGCAATTTTCGAGAGTCCCTCTTAACTGACTCTCTCTCCCACTTCTCACCTACTTCCTTTAACTGCCTTTTTTTACATAATTGGAGATACTTGGCAAAACTAAGTACAGCCTTGAGAAGCTATTATGGGAAGTATATATGCTCCTTGTGGGAAGTAAAAGTGGACTAGGAGTAAAGACCTAGGTTCTAGTCCCTGTTTTCCAAATATCTCACGGAATAACCCTGAGCCAGTATTTTTATCTCTCTGGAGTTCAATTTATTTCCCTTGTATAATAGATTTCAATTAGATAAATTCTGAGCCTGTCCTGTATTTTGTATATCTGTACAACCAATTATACTGAAATAGCCTTTTTCAGCAAGTGTGAATTCTTGCTTTGGATGGGGTACAGAAGGCAGAAGAGTGTGCTAGGGAAATAAGCTGACTTGGTAATTGAAAGTGAAAAAGGAAAGAACGAGAGAAGGGCCTGCCACTGAGGACAGAGTCTGAGGACAAAGAAAAACAAACTTTATGGTTTTACTAATGGTTACCTTCCACGAAGTATATAAAAACAAATTATGGAGATGTGACTATCTAATGCATTATAATGAAAATACTCATCAAGGCTGCTTCACATCATTTGTCAACTTTTCTTTTTAAATATGGCCCGCTCTTCTATAATGGAGTTCTGTTCTCAACTTATATATAAATGAGTATCGGTGTACTGTCCCAAAGTTTTCTTAATCTTATTTGTTCCTTAAAGGAGATTTTAACATGTGGGAATGGTAAAATCAAAAGTGAAAAATCCACAACAATGTCAATAACAAGAAGCAGTCCTCAAATTGCTAAACCAAGGATGTATGTGGACAGGGAGTGTCCCATAAGTAATAAAATGTTTTTAAAAAATGGCAAAGAGCAGATTAGATTATGAAGGACTTTGCAAGCAAGGGTCAAGGACCTGAACAGCATCCTGTGGACAATGAAAAGCCCTAAGAGATTTTTAAAACAGAGCAAGTGACTCTCATATCTGTTTTTGAAAGATAACACTCATGGCAGAGTACGTACTATATTTACAAAACAAAGTATAAAATTATCATGTAGGCTGATATTTTACCACAAAATAGTAACATAAAATTGGAATAAAACACTCTCTCAGTGAAGCCATGAAATAAATTTCATGAATACTACAGTATTCTTAAAGAAATTAACAGGGGGTTATGCCTTGCAAATTCCTTAGGTGAGTAAATAATCACACTTATTTAAAAAAAACTCTTTTTTTTTAAGTCCTCACACTACATATGTATACCTTTTTCAAATAAAATTAACACTTTAAGTAATATTTATTGGCATTAGGGCCACGGAATTTTTAAATATTTACCTAACCATTTAGAAAGCACTTAGCATTAAAGGTATAGAAAAATATCTCACACACTAACTTATGCCTTTCAAAACCTTGTATTTACCTAGTCACACACAAAGTGATCTCATTGAAAAGCTGAAAATTGCACTGTAGAATATGCAATTAAAATAACAGAAATATAGTTCCTTCAATTCAGCTTAAAGTTTCTATGCAGACAACTAATTTTTTTAAATTCCTATTAGTTTCAGCTGCTTCTTGGCAGACAGATTACAAACTCAGTGCTTCTTTCCATTAACCCACCAAAGCAGAACACCTTTAGCAGTAACTAGATTTGGGCTTCAAATTTCTAAATGCTTTGCTAAAAAAAAAAAAATGTTTCTAATAATTTAAAAACCTTAGTTAAGAACTGAACTGACACATACATAGCATGTAAATCAAATATTATAAATCTAATTATTAAATCAAATGTTTTACAAACCAGTGCCATTATTTTTCAACACAGTAACATAACATCCCAAAGGTTAAAAATTACTTTAAATCTATTCTTTTACAATGAAAAACATTTCTATTCATAAAAGTTTAAGTGGCTTTCAAAGAGGTTAATAAGAATGTTTAGCTTCTTAAGGAAATGAAAGTGTAATAATTTTGTTAACAACCTAAAAATGAACCCCCACATACTTTAAGTTCTATCCAAAATATACTGGATACTTGCTCACCTTTTTCAATTATCATACCTTGGAAAATATAGGTTAGCAAGGTCAACATTCAACATATAAGTACAACTTCAAGAATTACTGGTTTGTGACATCTTAATTATATTTTTATTTCTACCTTACCAAAAGTATAAACTAAAAGAATTTAATTTTAAAATTAGAAGGTATCATATAATTTAACTTTAGAATTAGAAGGTCTTACAGAATTCATCTACTAGGATCCCTTGATTTGACAGGATACTAAGATTCAGAAAGGTTCACTGACTTTTCCAAAATTAAAAAGTTAAGCCAAGACTCCACAATCCTCTGCCTATGAATCCGGGACTTCTTCCCCTATGTCAGGTACTATCTAAAATCTTTTCATCTTCCCTCACTTTCTGAAACAAGAAAGTGTTTCTACAATTGTCATATACAACACTTTGAAAATTAGAAAATCTCCTGATCTTTTACTCCCATAAAAGTACTGATTTCCTCTTAGTATCTTTAACATAATATATATGCAAACAAAAAAGCACAAATCCACTGTTAGGCTTCGGGAAGAAGCATAAAAACAAATTCTTGTTATTACAGTATCTGCTAAGTTAAAAATACCCTTTTCTAGTAATGTCAAAATATAATTATTTTGTAGATACTGAATATACGGTAAGCATAAACAAACCCTGAACTATTCACATGTATTTTAAGTGTGCAAAAATGTTCCTACTAAAAGTAGAATGTGAATAAGCATTTTCTGCGCTAAGAAAGTATACCCTTTTTAGAAGCACAAATTGTATTTTCCTCTAATATAAATAATAATTGAAGCTACCTGGTATAGAACACTGCAACTAAAGGTTGGAAAAGGTTGCCATGATGGAAAAAGCACCTCACTAGGATTAAGAAGAGAGAAATTTTCCACTACAAGAGGACAGACAGAATTAACCACACCAACAAATTACAATTAAAATATGTTAAACTGTAACTGTTAAGTTCAGGAAAATTGTCCACAAAAGTGATGAAACTGCTAAAACAATTTTACAGTGTTAAAAAATGCAATTTGTTCACATTTGACCAAAAGCCAAATGTTAATTCCATTCTGTGAAAATAGATGATACTATTTGTTCCATAATAAATCCTCTCAAAAAATTTTTCTTCTGGCACACATTCTCCTAAAGTACTGTCTATTATCACTGGTAGTAAACTGAGAAAAAAAGACATAACAAAACGTTTTCCAGTGGTTGGCCACAGAAGTGGCCTCTGAAGCCAATTCAAGAAGCAAAGTATTGTGTCATTGCAACACTACAGATCAGTGTTCAACATGTCATAAAATCAATATAGTAGATTGGAGATTATTTCTAAAAGAAGACAAGAAGTGACGAGAACAGAAAAGAAGAGAGACGAATGCATCAAATGCATTAAGAACAAGAAACTTTTGTCTCCAACATATTGGCTCTCAGTTTAAAACATATCATTAATCCAAAAATTCTGAAAAACTGTGGTGTACACACTTATTCTCCTACTTAAAACCATTATATTTACCAGTTAGTTGTGCAGAGAACACAGCACTGAAAAATGAAAAATCTAATCAAATCCCAGAACAACCACTTACTAGACATGTGAAGTTGCGTTACTTCTATAAACCTAGATTTCTCATCTCTAAATAGAGGTTAATGGTGCCAACCAAATACCGTTCTTATGAGTATTTGAGACGATATATGTAAAATGTTTTGCACTTCATAAATGCTCAATAACAGTAGCTATACGTATTGAGTTTCTTGGTGATGTAGAACAGGTCGATCTTCCAGTACTATATAAAGATGTGAACTCATTTGCTGATGAGGATTTCAATCCCTTTGAAAAAACAAAACTATGTAAACCTATGGGAGAAAAACTAGAAATGCTTTTGGCATCTTTCCAGGAATTACTAAGTTTAAAGTTTAAATTGTTAAAACATTCTCCAAATTATGCAACGAATACAAAGAACCTGGAATTAGTCTGTAAAACACTATATTCACCTACACTGCTGTCTTTTCATCTAAATTACTAACTCTCATTTCTAAAGCTCATTACTGTTCTTGTAACGATAAAATCTCAGATTTTTCCTCTCGATTATCTATAATAACGAAACCACACTTACTAAAACTCACAGATATATCTCCTCATTCTAAAGGCTGTATGTTATCTTTGGGCAGGCATTATTATAACAGCCAACAGATGAATGCCACCAAAAAGATAAACATCAGAGTATGCTGAAAGCGGGAGTAGTCAACCTATTCAACCACAAATGATTCACCTCATTCTTCTGCGAACTCATCTACTGCATAAACAGTCCTTAAAAAGTGCAATATGATTAGCAGCTATTTCATTTCTATTCAATGACAAAAGGTACTTGCTTCTGCATTTTTAAAAGGCTTCCTGCATTTTAAGAATCCTTTCCTGAATAAAACAGTACTTCCTCCCCCTAACCCCAACCTTTTTCCATTCTGAAAGTTAACACGCTTTCAAATAAGCAAATTCAACTCGGAAACTGCAGCGGTCAACCCGAACCCGCTGGCGTACCAGTCCTCGCTTTCCCGCTAACATACCTGTTCTCTCGAAATGCAAGGCAACGAAGGTCTCCTGAATATTTTGCAACTGCCATAGTGACTGGCTGCAGTTTCTCCTAGCGACACACAGCTGGACCTCCTCCGGGGTCGGATCACAGGCACTTTTTCTTCGGCGGCACTGGACAGCCGAGGATGAAGAGGCGCTTCCCTGATTTGAAAGAAGTGATCCAACCCCAGGGCCAGCAGGCAGCCAGCACCCCCCACCAGGCCGGAGAGCAGCGGCCTGAGGGCGGAGGGCAGCGACCCGAGGCTGGTGAAGGAAACCCACCACACGAAGCTGGCCAGTAGCAGCACCAGGATGCCGTGCCGGAGCCGCAGCGGGTACGCGAGCGTCAGCAGTAGCCCCACGCAGCTCAGCACCAGCAGCAACCTGCCCGCCGCCGCCTCTGGGGGCGTGTGCGGGACCGAGGACCCTGCGTCGCCGTCCCCCCAAGGCCAAGACCACGACCACCACTGCCACACCACGAAGTCCCCCAGGTAACAGCAGGCGGGCAGCGCCAGGAGCCACCACCAGCCGCCGCGCCTGCCCGGGCCGGGTCCCCGCTTGGTCCGGGTCAGGAAGCAGGTGAGGAAAAAGAAGGCACAGGCGATGCTGAAGAGGGGGCTGAGGCTGTGCGAACACACGCTCAGCAGCGTCCGCAGCCAGGCGGCCACGGCAGCCCAGCTCTCGGGTTCGGCGCCCAGCAGCAGGGCGAGGACAAAGGCGGCCAGGGCGACCAGCGAGAGGCGCGCCCGGCAGAAGGGGGAGCCGCGCGGCGGCTGGTGGGGGGAGGCCGGCAGAGGCCCCAGTTCCACGTTGCAGAAGCGGCAGAGATGGAAGAAGAAGCCGCGCGGAGGGTCCTGCCGCAAGGGGCTCACGCAGCTCTTCACGTAGCCGTTCCTCAGACTCTCAGGGGGCGAGCCAGCCCCATCCGGCGGCTGCGGGGACCGCATGGCTTTGGCGTCTCTCTCGTCCCTCCTCATGGCCGGGGCCGGGGGTGGTCACGGGGCTCAGCACACCCCGTTCGTACCGTAGCGGCCGCTCGCGCTCCCAGACCCCAGCCCCAGCGCTCGGGGCGCTCCCGGCTCACAACGCGTCAGGGCTGCGCCCGCCGCCGCGGCCCGGAATCCCCGCAGCGCGGACTGGGAAGCGGCGGATTCCGGGACATGCTGGCTGAAGAGAGGGACGGAAGGGGCTTCTCTCCGGGACCAGTTGGGCTGCCGCGTCCTTTTCCCTCGGGCACCTCTCCGGACTGGAGACTTGGTGTCGCCTCCCAGCTCCGCTGGCTGCAACAGTTACCTCACTGCCCCAGCCTGGTCCGTTGGGCGCGCGAGCGGCGGGCGGGCGCTCCTCCCCCGTGTCTGTCGCGGCCGGGCGCGCGCCCAGGGCGCGCTCGCGCCTTGTCCCGCCGCCGCCGGCGCGGCGGCCGCCCAACAGGGGGACTTGAGCCCGGGACCCTGCCGACCCTGTGTGCCCAGGCGGTGGAGAGCGCGGCGGCGGCAGTCCGAAGACTGGCCGGGACTGAGAGCAAAGGACGAGGTCTTCCTTGAACGGGAGGGGCAAGCCCGCCATCCTGGGACCCCAGGCGTGCAGGTTCCCTTTGAGGGTAAGTCAGACACCCAGCCAGACTCCCAAAGGTCACTACTGGGGTCTTCTGGAAGGAGGGCGTTTGTGGTCCTGAAGGGGTGTGCTTAGTGGGGATGCCGAGCTAAGGGTGGAAGGGGAGGGGAACTGTCTCTAACCTCAGTCCCGTTCAGGGTGGGTCCTCAGACTGTGACCAGATGAGGGCCAGCCACCACCAAGGCTATGGCGAAGAAACCCTAATCACCGTGGCTAGATCTGGCCTCAAAAGCAACCTGGATTCTTGGGCCACGCGGCAGGCCCAGGATCTTTGCAGTGGGCCCTTAGGGAGGAGTATGCACGTGGAGTGCACTCTGGGAATGTTGCTCAAGATCCATCTGCACAGGCGATAAAGTCTCATCTTCCACTTTGCACTCTAGCTATACATACCTACTGGTTCACATCTTGTATCCCCTTCCACATAGCACAGATTTGCTGTCGCAAGCCATCTTTCCAAATTGAAGGCTTTTTCACTGGAACAGCATGTTCTAGATGGAGGAGTGGGGAGAACTAGGAATCCTCTCCAAGACCACTCCCCATTTTGGATCAAGCTGGCCTTGAAAGAAGCCAAATAAGATGCTGTCTGTGAAGCATCTTGTTTGCTTCACAGCAAATGAGTGAAACTAGCAACATTAGGAAACAAGGACTTGAAAGTAAGAAGAAAAAAACTTTGCTACACCAAAGGGACTGCTCTGGAATCTAACCAATCATAACTGCCTTAGAGAGTGAACTGTGTTTCCCTCCAGAAGCTCTTGCTTCAACCTCATGACCGGACTGCATTTCTCAAAGAGCTAATTCCACATTTTTCCAGGGAGATGAGAAACCTTACTGTGTGGGAAATCCCACAAACAGGCCCATTTTTCACCAATTAATCTCTGCCCACAGCCATGACCTAAAACAGACCATTTTCGTGTATGATTATAGTTCACATGCATTGCAAAAATCACTGAGAAATTAGCGCAAGAATTTGACCAAAATGAAAACGTTCCAGAATTCCCTTTCCTTTGCTTTTCCTTTTCTAATTGATTAGCCAAATTCTTGTCCTAAAAGATAAAAATTCATAAGGTCTTTTTATCCCCATGACAATTGAAAGGAAAGAAAAATGCTCATTTCAGCAAAACTCAGCAAACGCATTTTTATGTGATGTGCATAGAACTCATTACCACCAGTTGAATACTAAAGTAAAAAACAATGGATACATTTTGAGCTTGTATAGAAGGGCATGACAAAACTAGCACCAGCATTATTGAAATTCCTATTATAAATTCCACAGGAAATAATAAATTGATTTGAAAATTAAAACAAATTCAGATTAAAAGGTGTGTGTGTGTGTGTGTGTGCATTTAATCTGAGGTTGTCCTCTAAAGTAGGATTGGCATGGTCATGGAAACAGTAGGGGAGTAGAATCCAGTTTTGTGAGTTTTTGTCTGGGCCTAGCCGTTCATACCCTGACATTAAGCAGTCCTATAACTTTTACTGGCCTTGTTCTTCTCAAATGTGAAATGAAGCAATCTAATTTAGATAACCTTTGAAATCCCTGCTAGTCTCTAAAAGCTCTCATTTCTGTATGCCAAAAAATATATAGGCATCCTTAAGACTCACCTTTCAGGTTGCCAAGAGCAACCTTTTATATTATTTAGACTGCCAAACTAAACCAAACTCTCAGTGTAGACAAGTAAAAATGAAGGGATTGTATCAAAAGACGGTTTTCTGAAAAATAAAATCCAAAGGCCTCTTCACAAAATTGTCTGACCTCCCAATTCTTTAGCCTTCTTTTAGCTGTCATTTAGGTTTTTATAAGGCTAACACCCCAACTCTTTCAATAACCCATAGTCGGAGTGCATCCATCTGAAGGCCAACCCAGCACCTGAGAGTATTCTAAAATAAAATGTAAGGACATGACCAAAGACCGTCAGAAGTTTACTTAACTAAAAATATGCACAAAAAGAATGAGCTTGCTATGTTTATAGCAACTCCCTTCTCTGTTTACAGTCTTTGTCAAAGATTATTACTAGGCTGCATTTCTTAGAGGTCAAATTATTTAATTATTCCCTTGCCAAACTTAAACAACCAATAAAAATACTTAGTTTTTTAGGTTCAAGAATTTATGACCATTATCTGTCATGAAAAAATCCTAAAGTCACAGTATGCCTTTGACTTCTTTCAGTGCTATACCCCAGCCTCATTTTACCTGACTGCCTTCCCTAGTGTCTTGACCCGTGATCTCTCCACTTCTTAGTGGATCTTTCCACTCTCCTGGTTTACCATGACATGGGATCCTGGGCCTTACCACCTGGCTCTCAAGTCATTTTAAGATAATGCAAGCCCCTGTGTATTTCTTTTTTTCTAATTTCTCAGGATAAAGTGGTCTGACAAATTTTAAATATCAAAGAAACTCAGAAATAACCAGTTAATTAACCAGTATCATTGAGGTTCCAAATTTATAAAACTAGAGTAATCCTGGAAGATACATGTAAAACCTTATAAGGTTTTCAAAGAATTAAATAATTCACATTTACAGCCTTATTTTTAAAAATTTTTTAAAAATGCTAGACAAGCTTTTCTCTAGCATAGAAAGGATCATTGTTTTCCTGCGTGCAATGGCAACTCTGTTGCCCGAGGATGTTAACAATACCTATGTTCCTTCCAGCTAATTCTCATCTCAGAATCTCAGCCTCATTTTGACTCACTCTTTTAGTTCCTTTCAGTAAGTGGCTATTTAGTGCCCACTATATGCAGAGCTTTGTGCTAAATTCTATTTGGAACATTTTTTAAAACTATATCAGTTGCTTTAGAGCTTTCTTGGATCTACAGCTTTATCTGGGAGATAGAGCATATGCCCATAGACTATTAAATAGCACAAAAGAATAAATATCTGATTAAGAACTGTTAAGCACAATGTGTTAGGACAATTTAAAAAGAAAATCATTTTATTCTAGAGTGCCCCCGCTGTGTGGTTGTCTCAGTTTGTTCTCACAGTTTATTTCTCATTCTTCTAGTTCCATTTCTCTCTCTTAAAGTATTCTTTCTCTCCCCAGCATCTGTCCAGATGGCTGTCTTCTAATCTCTGTCCTCTTTCATCTCTGTATTTAATTTCCTAACTTCTTTTACTTCTTCATTTCTCCTAAGTACCAACCCCCCTCCACCAGCATTTAATCTATCTCCGTTAATGAATGCATTCATTCATTCAATATTTATTATGTGCCTGGTGTTGTGCTGGACAGTGTGCTAGATGACAAAGATATAATGGTGAAGGTGTGCTTCCTTTGTCTAATGAAAGCTAGACAGTAAAAAGACTATTATTGTAACAGGAGCTGTGACATTGAGGTAATAAGCCTCAGTGTACTCTGGGAGCTCAGGAACCCAATCTACAGTAGGAGTAGCAGGTAAGGAGTAATGCTCTGGGGGACTCAGAGAAAGGGATTTCTAGGCTTGATATTAAAAGGTGAATAGAAGTTACCTAAGTAAAGTAAGGAGAAAAGATAATCTGGGTAAAGGAAGGAAGCAGTGCAAAACTCTGGAGGAAAGCAACTGTAGTGCATTTGGATAACTCAAGTATCCCATGGCTTAAGTGTAAGGAATGAGGGGGCTACAGAGATGGTGTTGCCCTGCTAATGGAATTGGAATTTGTTACCTAAAGGTTTATGTTCTGTTATCATATTTGTTTATTTATATGGCTACCTCTGCAATATATTCTTCAAACAGGAATTGTCTTATTCAATCTTAGCTCAATCTTCATGCCTAACAGTATTTAGCCTATAGCAAGTTCTCAGAATTTTTCAAGTGTGTTTATATTTCTCAAAACTATTTTATTCAGATTTTAGCTGTATTTCCTTTTTTTTTGGCTTTATTAGTCAATGAATTTTAACAGAAAACTTCGAATATAATAGAAAAAAAGTTTTCATATTGTTATGGAAAAATATTTTTCTTAAAATTCATTTGTACCAAATTATTAAAAGAACCCTTTTTCCTAAATTTACAAAAAAAAATTATACATATGTTTATGTTGTATATCATTTTCAACATAAAATAAATGTTTCAGAGATGTGTGGGTCATTTTTTATTTTAACTCAAGTGACAGTACCTGGATTCTTTTGCTATGAAAGCATATATTCTAGTACTTTAAGAATTTTCTTCTTTCTGTTTCAAGTTTTCACAGCAACAGTTGTATCTCTAACACAAATTTACTATCATACTTTTAAAATATAACAATTGGTAAAAGTATTAAATCTATAACTATTAGCCTGATGTTTCCTGGATTTTTTGTTCTAAAGCTAAAACCTGAACCTTGAACAATAAACAGCAGTGCAGACTCTTTCCAAGTTTTCTTGTTCCCTCCCTAGACAAGCAGGAGTTTCTTCAGCTCTGGCTATCCCAGCAGATCTGAAGGATCACAGCCACGACGGTGGCAGCCTACCGTTGACACTGAACTTGTGGTTAATTGTGGAGTTCTGCCACAAAACCACCTCACTACCACAAACTGGATACTTGCCCAGGAAGGTGACAAACTGCCAGGTCAAGCAATCTACAGGAGGCAGCAAAAGCAAACTGCCTTTTCCCCCAGAAAGCAGTCATTTCTGGATTCCAAATGGAGCCAACAAGCGGAGCACACCACCACCACCAACAACAACAAAATTTAGAAGTATGCTTTCTCTATTTAAGCCTTCTTAAAATGTACTCATGCAGTTTTGCAAGAGGAGCTCAAAAGGATTCATCTAGTTCATTAACATAATCAAGAAGTGTAAAACTATTCTTT